CGGAGCGGGGAGGCGCCGCCGCGACGGCCGGATACGCCCGGCATCCGCCGCCGGAGGCTGCCCGACCGGCAACGGCTGTCCCTCCGACGGGTCTGCCCGCAGAACCGTCTGCCAGCCCGACGGGTCTGGTTAGGACACGCTCTGCGGACCTGATGGTCTGGCGAGAGGACGCTCTGCCCCTGACGGTCTGGTTGGAACACGCTCTGCGGACCTTATGGTGTGGTCGGAACACGCTCTACGGACCTGATGGTCTGGTCAGGACACGCTCTGCGGTCCTGACGGTCCGGTCAGATGACGCTCTGCTGGCCTAATGGTCTGGTCAGAGGACCTGATGGTTCAGGTCACAGGACGTCCGCCCAAGACGGGCGCCGCCAGCAGCAGCAGCCACAATACCACTGAGCCTGTCCCGAGGACAGTGGCATCCTGAACGTCGGCGAGTCTGATCCTCGCGATGTCAGCCTCTTCGCGCAAGGTCCGCGAAGCACGCAGACCTCGCAGAGACGGCCGGCGGCCGGCTGACGTTCGATCGCTCTGAATAATCAACCATCCCTTTTAGGGAGTCGTGCCAGCGTGCCTGGTTATGGCCGAGTGCAAGCGCTTCCCACCCAATATCGGCCTACAGCTCCAATGACGCATTGATCGGTCGCTTGGAGCCGTGACGGCGACGGGGACGGCGACGGCGCACGCTAGCCGCACGGCCGCCGGCTCATCGCAACCCGCCAGAGGCCATCATAAAACGTCCATCATCATCGCCGGGCCGCGCGGCCGCCGGGCAGCACGCGCCGGCCATGCGGTGGCACCCGGGCTGCGACTGAGTGCGGTCGGGATCGGGCGCAGATCGAGGGCAGGGACGGTCACTGATCGGGCGCAGGGACGGCCGTTGATCAAGCACAGGGACGGCCGCTGATCGGGCGCAGGACGGCTGCCGATCGGGCACATGGACGGCCGCCGATCGGGCGCAGGGACGGCCGCCGATCGGGCGCAGGGACGGCTGCTGATCGGGCGCAGGGACGGCCGCCGATCGGGCGCAGGGACGGCTGCCGATCGGGCGCAGGGAGGCTGCTGATCGGGCGCAGGGACGGCTGCTGATCGGGCGCAGGGACGGCCGCCGATCGGGCGCAGGGACGGCCCCGATCGGGCGCAGGGACGGCTGCTGATCGGGCGCAGGGACGGCCGCCGATCGGGCGCAGGGACGGCTGCCGATCGGGCGCAGGGACGGCCCGCCGCCTCTCTGAGCAGGCGGCCGGGCACGCAGGGGATCGGCCGGCGACGCCGCTGACCTTTCTCACCCACGTTCACCGCTTTGATTGCAGCCGTTTGGGGATGGGCGCCGTCTCCAACGGTGTCGGTGTCATCCGCTGCCGCGCAGCGCCGGCACGGCACCGCAAGAGCCGTGGACGTACCGAGCAGCGAGCAGGGCCGATGCAGCCGCTTGACAATGCAGTACAGCGTGCGCACTGTCTTAGTCGCCATTGGACAACATCATACAGCTGTGCATGACAGCCATAAACCGAACCACGACACAATAACATCGGTCAAGGCGGCGGCTGATCGCGGGACAGGGGACCCGGCACGAACGAGCTGCTCCGCGCGGGGCTGGGAGGTCGGCAGCGGGGAGGGGGTGGGCGGTCTGGCGCTGCTCCGGGCGGACCGGACCCGGCGCGCCGGCCGGTCCCGCTCGCCCGCCGGTAGCCCCTCTCGCGGCGCAAACCGGCGCGGCGCGGCTGTGCACGGCTGCAGCGCCGCCCCGTCTCGATGGGGCCGGCCGCTGACGGCCGGCGCGCGACAGTTTATTTGAGGCTGGTCGGTCAAGCGGCGACCGCTGGGCCGGAGGACGGCGCGGTGACGTACGAGCCGCCGCGTATCGCGCCACGCCCAGCCGCGCCCAGCACACCCGCCTGTTTACCGCGCTGGGAAACACACCACCGGGTCCGCGAGCCGGCCAGAGCGCCGCAGCGACAACAGGCAGCCCGCCACATAACTCCTCCGGCTGTTGTTCATTCTCGCGTCATGTGAATCAAGCGCAGTGCTGAAATCACAACACCGGTTCGGAAACAATATTTGGGGCCGGCACATCAATGATCAAGCTCATCTACCGCCGCGGGCGCGAGCTGACGAAGACGGCACTCCATGCCATGTTTCCTGTCCAAACCGAGCAGTACGGCAGCGTTTGGATGCCACGGCTGAGCTGGGTGCGCCAGGCCGCCAGCAACCGCCCGGCACTTGACCAGAGCGCGGGGGCCGGCCGAGCCGTCGGGTGGTGCGGGCCACCGGGGGCGGCGGGCCGAGGGCGCCCCTCCCGGCCGCGGGCCAAGCCGCACCACTGGCCCCAGCTCCAAACATAATAACGAGGGCCGTCGCGCGGTGGCATCCACCGCTGGCACGGCAAAGATTAAACGGGGCCCCGACTCTGAAAATACCGGCTGCAAGCCGGCGGCCGACACACGCGCTGACCACGGCCCGCGCCCGCAAAAAACCTGAACCTGGCCGGGCAGGCGGTGACCGCCGGCCGGCCGTGGGGCCGCTCCCGCCGGCGTCGCGCGCTAATTTCAGGCCGCTCTGCCCGCAAGCACGGACCGAACAGCATGGCCCGCTTGGAAGCGCATCCAAAATTGTCGAGGAGAACTCGCGCGCGTGATAGCAGATGTCGCCAGCGCGCCGGGCGGCCATAGTTGTGCAGTCACCGCCCGCCAGGTGGCAGCGCTGTACGGCCCAAAACGGCCCGTTGGCCGGGGACGGTCAACGCGGTTTGCAGTGATACCGAACGGCCGGGAACCAACACTTGAAAACAAGGTTTGATTCCTGCATTGACAGCACTGGTGGTGCCAAGTCAGCATGGCACTTAAGTACCTAGCAAGTGGTCTAAAAAGGTGTCCAAAATCCACTTCAGTGGTTGAAATGACAAAGCAACCATAGCATATACTATGTGTGATTATACTCTGTAATTGAATATGATTTCCATATTCTAACAGCATTTTACAACAACACATATGAAATGAAGCTGATGTATGTTGTTGCATAATGCTGAAGCCTTACACAGAATTTCATGGTAGCTCACAGATTATCACCCAAATTGGGACCAACAAGTTGTGCCAAGGAATGGATGTAACTTGACTGCTTATCAGGGATGTGGGCACATTCCCCATCATTGTCAAGCAATTAGTATCATGTTTACTAGCACCCTGTTTATGGTATTGCATAGAAACAATGCACCACTTACAGCATTTGTATTGCCATCATGAGGCAAATGTTTTGTTTCTTGTGCCAAGTGCATGGCTTGAGCTAATACCATGCTAGAACTTCAAAATATATTGTATATGCAATAAACTGGTTAATACTATAACCTGTCACTTGGACTTCAATGCTCCAAATGCCTCCAGAGATAGATCCATAAACTGTGAACCATGTTATCAAGATGCAACCATTTTTATAACTTGTCAGTATGCTTATGTTTCAGCTATGCAGAGTATCTCATTTCAACAGATTGTTGCATCATATCTACCACAAGAATACTTACCACAGGACTCTGTGTGTATGCTCAGCACAGTGACTGTAACCCTGTTCACAAAAACTAAGCCACTGTGCATTTATATATCACATATCTACCTATAGGAACAGTACTAAATATAGTACACAGTACATCATTTATATTTATAGAGCACCTTTTCCAGTGGGTGTTAATATTGCTTACTGTTTCAGATGGTAACAAATGGTAGCTGAAACTTCAAGTGGCTTTCTTTATAAAATGTATATGATTAATTCAAATGTATAAAACTGGAAACACATTTATAATGCAGGCACTATTCTCTTCACTTTGAATAGTAAACTTTGTATAGTAAACCAGTTTACACTTGTAAAAAATGAGTCTGGCCCACCTATTGTTAACATGCCATGGACTGGCAACTATTTTGTGATAAGAAATACATCACAAAATGTCCCATGTGCATAACTAATATGCATATGAACCCTTTTGGGCTGTGGCAAAAACAAGCCTTTCTGCTTAAGACCTTGGCTAAAGTCAGTCAAAATATACCTGGCATCACATTGCATGAATAGATTATGTGCATAAATTGGGAGCATGATGACTTAATCACTTAAACACACACATGAAGACAGCAAAATGTGAAAGAAACAGTGAAACACACCAGTTTTCCAGAATGTCACCCACCTGTTGGATTCATCTCATCCAGCATCTTATTGTTTGATCTTCCCTTGGCTCACTGACAGGGGAAGCACTTCATCACAGTAATTTGTATGTGTCTTGCTCCATAAGATTAAAGCAAAACCTGGGTAGGAACAGCAGGAACCATATTTCTCATTTTGGCAACAAAATTAACCTGCAATCAATGATATTGCGGTTGTTATGTTTCCAGAACCGAAAAACGCTTAAATGTAAAACAGAAGATTGTCATACATAAAACGCAATTGCAACATACAAAAGTGGTCCAGTCAACATCAATAGTCAGAAACGCCACCCACAAAACGTACTTTGTTGACCATGTACCAGTAACTCTAATCATGAATATAACAGCTGGGACAGGCAGCCGTGGCACTGACGACATTTCATATATGGTGCTTCTGCTACAAACTAAAGCACCTTGCAGATATGCTGCTAAGTCACGTGACATATCAGGCATTACAATTTTAATACACTAGCTATTTTTGATGTTACTGTATCTTGACTGATAGCATCTCATGTTATTAAACATTAAATATAATCACATTAGACTGTGGCTCACGGAACAAGCAGTCACCGAAAAGGTTGGCCGTACAACATATAGACCAATGTGGTTGTCGACAGTTGTTTTAAGACAAAGTAGAACTTGAGTAGAACACACCAGTATTTTGACGATACTGGCGCACTGCGTCTCAGCGCCGGTGTGCGTGAGGTTTTGAGGTGACGCGAAATTGGGGCCCCCGGTGAGTGTTCGAGCGGGGCGCTGGGTGCCAGTTCGGGTTTTGGGATAGGTGCAAACTTCGTGTGCCTGGTATCTTAAAGGAGGAAAACGGTTTAAATCACTGGTTGGCCTTTCAAGGCCGATTGCCAGAGCTCTTTCAGTGTTGTAAAGAGGTAAGCCATTTCTTTCTCGCTGCCATTCGCTGTTTTCCGATTGCTGACTTCAAATCAAATTGTGCAGATTATGTGTGCCCTGCGGCATGCGTCATAGTTCAACAGTGTGACACCCATTCATGTTTCAAGCTGTCAGTAGCGTAAAGATGAGACAAGATATGGTCCAGGATTTGGTCTTATTGAATGCCTTTCATTTTGAAGGCTGCACAGCACACATTGGATAACCAATTGTAGAGGCCTGATGACTGCAGTTGTCTCATCAGTAGCCAGAGGCTAGACAGCTAAAATAAAATTTGTACTTGAAATGTCCAGAAAAGCAGCAACATTATGGTGACAATTTCACTGCCTGTTCACTGTAGATGAGTGCTCAGTAAAGTATAACACAGTTTTCATCAATTTGAACACAGACAATTTTTCTTAGAAATATGATGCTACAAAGGTAATTTGAGCCATTTGTGAGTGTTTTATTGCTCAAATATCATATTATGTAGCCATTCTCATTCCAAGAACATTTCTTGAACAAACTGTGTAAATTCAGTGCAATTTGGCTTAGCTTGAGTTTGGAGGATGTAAGTGGAATGTTCAGCACACTGACAAAATGTGGTCTTCTAGAGCATTGGAGATATGTTTTTGCAGATTCACTCAGATGCCATTCTCAGCAGGGACCAGTGTGAGCTCTGCTGCAGGGAGGGAGTTGGGGAAGTCTCCAACAATCTGCAAAATTCAGTATCTCATCCAAGCATAATTGAGAAAAGTGCATCAAGGTTTATATAATCATTAAAATGGTTCTCAAATTCAGGTGACCTCAGAAACAATATTTGAATTTTTATGTAGTTTTTTTAATTCAAACTAGTCATAAATGCCTGGTAACTCACCTCTCTGCTTCTTCCTAAGCATTTGTGTCCTGAATTTAGGTGTGCAAATCCTTGCAATGCTATTTTAACATGATGAAGTGCAGTTAGGTAGTACCAGCCTACCAGTTGGCCAGTTTTATTGCCAAGGCTTTGTTGAATGATAATCGTGCAAAGAGAAAACTTGTTTTTTCTTGCAGAACATGCAGGCTTCATACTTATTCTTGTGAACAGAGTACATACATTCCATCTATGAACCTCACACAGAAGCAAGGTCATTGGATAAACAATACATTTGTGAGTAGTTTCTAGTAAATTTGTGTACCTGCAGCTACCAAATGGTGGTGAATTCTGCTGTTAACCTGGCATTGCACAATTATATATCTGTAGTCAGGGGTCACACAACAGACACTATTTAGTGTGAGCTCTGACACCAGATATCCATGGATTTAGATGTTTTTGGCTCTTTTTTAAATTTCATTTTGTTGTATGATTTGTGTCAGATGGATGTGGTGTGGCATGTGTTTTTGTGCACTAAGCTGCTTGCTCAAGGTTTTTTTTAGTTTTCTGTTGGTGCCCTTTTGTCACCTTTGAATGACACTATGTCACATGCTCATCTATCAAAAAAGATGTGCATCCATGAAGCACTTGTATACTGCATTGCTACATTTTCCTGGCAAAACATCCTTGCTACAGCAAAGGCGGTTAAAAAAGAGGAGGTCTTCAAGGATATGCCTAGTACCTCACTTCTTCAGCAATACACATAGCTTGTCATTGGGCTTGCTTCAACAGCTTATCTAGATTGCTGAGTGGACAGCAGTTTTGCAAAATGGCCATACTGTGTTCCTGAATAACAGTAGTAGCTTACAAAGGTTGATGTTGGATCACAACTGCCCGCATCTGGCCAGCCTTAAAAACCACCTTCCCCCATCTGTGTGCGTAACTTGAGCCTGAGGTCGACAAAGGTTCCAATGTCCTTTTTGTTGGGCCAGTCTGTGATTTTGTGTCATGCGTGAAGTACACACCTGGCACTATGCTGCAAGCTATTGTTCCCATAAACTGGCTCAGTATTGTGAGAGTGGCATCAGGATTAGGAAGCCACTGCTGCTACCAAAGCATGGAAATCTGAAATGATTGGTTTGGAGAGGGAAGTCGGTGATGGTAGCTGAGTCTGAGAGGGAACTTTGTGATGGTAGCTAGGTCAGAGAGGGAAGTCTGTGGTGCCAGCTGGTTTGGAGAGGGAAGTCTGGGATGGCAGCTGTGATGTGATGGCTTCAGAGAGAGAAGTCTGTGATGGTAACTGGGTCAGAGTGGGAAGTCTGTGGTAGCAGCTGGGTTTGAGGAGCGGCCACTAAAAGGTGGATGACAGTCCGCAATCAATTAGTTCTCATTGAGCTGAAGTTGGATTTCATGCCTTTGAACATAGTTAGACTTGGAATTGTGTTCACTGTGATAGCTCATCACAGATGAGTACTTGAAACAGAAATCAAATGTGTGAATATAAATTTGAGGATTGCAGGAGGTTCAGGAGTCTCCTTCCATACATTGCAGGAGATCAGCACCCTGGACCTGAGTCAGAGTCTATGGGTCCAGTGCAGTCTGAGTCTATGTTCAGCTCCTGTTAACTGGTCAGAAATGTGTTTGGCTGTGATCAAATGGTTTTGTTTCTGAGCCACGAAGCGTGTGGATTATTTTAAGTGTCTTTTTAACGCGCGCCCGGATGGCCGGCTGGCAACCCTTCGCTCAGGTGGGGGTCAATTTGACGGCCCCCCTGAGATCTCTGGAACTAATAGAGCTAGAGACACCAAATTTACAGGGTGTGTTGACCTGTATGTAAACTCACTTACGTCAAGGTTTCAGATTTCTAGGTCATGACCTTCGGGTCAAATGAGGTCAAACAAGGTTAAATTCCAGGTTGGTCTCCAAAGTGCCCCCAGAACCTAAATAATCATTTCTAAGCAAAAAGTCACGTGCTCATCAAGGTCAGTGACCTTGTTTAACGTTTTGAAGATCATGGTGACCAAAATCATACAAGCTGCTCTAAGTTTTGCACTTAAATAAGATACAAAAATTATGATAGGTGGTGCTAGCAGTTTTGCTATTAAAAGGAAAATGTTGACCTGGGTCATTTTAGTTCAATGAGCTATTCTTACCTCTAAGAAGTCCATGGAAGATGTGTAATGCGGTTCCTGCTGTCAGTACATTCGAAATGAGCACCAGTCGGGTAAGAATAGGTCATTGACCTAAAGTAGCAGCAAGCCCAGAAAGTAAACCTCGTAATCTCCCGAGAGATCCATACTTCATCATCATATCAGGATTATTTGTCGATGTTCATCATTACAGCAATAAATCATCCCGAGAGATCTATAATTCCTCTTCCAAACCCCATACAGCGAGCCCGAGAGTAATAAAACAGGTTGGTTTTGACCGTGGTCTGACCTGCATACCTGACCTTTGGTCAATGTGATTTGCTCATTCAACCGTTGTCTTGCCTAAGAAAGCATCTCAGAAATGTATGGTTTCGTCTAACACTCCGTTGTTGCAACTGGTTGAACGGTTCCCTAGAAATTGCCTTTACTGAAACCATGGCCTGACTTTGACCTGTCATAGTTCAGCGACCTTACAAGTTGCATTTAAATTTTTGATGCCAAACGATCTGCTATTCAATTGTCTACGGCTACGCAAAATTTGGCGCGGCTACGCCGCGCTGTTCGGAAACCGTTCTTGAAAACCTTCGAAGGGGTCGATTTGGCCCCCACCCGAGCGCGTGTTAACTAAACCCAGTTTTGATAACTCAATCTGTGTCAAGTAGATTTGGCTTGATTTTTCACAAAGTTCCAGCATCAGGTACACATATGAACTGTCCTGGGCGACGGAAAGTGCTCAACAGACGTGCATTTGGATTACAAGGCTGGAAGAATATAAAGTATTCCTTCTTTTACACATGCCTGCTACAGTTGGTAGAAAGAGTATTGATTTGGTATCCATATTTCTTGTTCATTCAATTGATCCATAATGCCTGCCGAGAAGATTGACACAACTCTGGATTACACCAATTGTGGAAGGAATGGATTTCAGTTGAGTCTCCAAAAGTTGACCCATTCCAGCACCAATTTGAGCTCCCTGCAGAGACAAACAGATGTCTGATCAGAACGGTACATGACTCTTCAGTTTGGGTCTGCCATTGAGCTGCTGGAGCTGCTCATGTGACAGGGACCCCCGATCACCATCCTGGACTCCCCCTCCCTTTCTAGGCATGATAGTAGCTTTCTGGGTTAATAGAACACTTTTGTAAGGTCATGGGACACTGGGAACTTGTTACCCAATATAGAACTTTTTTATTTGTCACAAAATCACAAAAAAATTGGTGATTTTCTTTCGGCAACCACCAAATTCCTGTTAAAGCTAATTAACCGTAGCATAGGGTTGGCCCTGGAACATTTGTGACCTCGTCGCCACTACTGACATATGGCTGCTGTCTGTATCGACATTGCTGGCGGGTGACTACTGTTTCTATATCGCTGAACGGGGAGCGCGCCGTCTCGCCGCTTTCATCGATCGCTGTTTAGTGCCTGCTGCTCCTGGCTTTCACAGACCACTGCCGTCTCTGTGGCGCAAGGAGTTGGGTATGGTGCACTGTCTCTGCACAGTGTGCATGCTCGAAAGCGTCCTGCCGGTGCTGTGCCTCCATGGATCCGTGTCTGCCGTGTCCGCGCCATTGAGGCTTATCGCGCGCTGTCGCGGCGCGCCTATGGACGGCGGCATGACGTCACAGTGTCTCCGCCCCGCCGCCCCTGAGCGTCGCGCGCCCCGTGTGCCGCAGACGCCATGGCCGACCGCGTGGGCTCGCAGCAGATGAACCTGACGGCCGTGCGCCGCCACGACCCGTACGTGGCCGACATTGTGGACAGCGCCACCCAGGTGGCCGTCTACGAGTACAACTCGCCGGCCAGCGAGTGGGTAGGTGGCGCCCCCGCGCGTGGATGCGACCTGTGGTGCTACTCTGGGGAGGCGAGGTGGCGCTCCGTCGGGCTAGGGACGGAACTCGTGTTTGAGCTATATGGTGTTGGTTTCTTCATGTTTGCCTCGTGTACTCAAGATGGCGACCAGTGGATGCCTTACAGCATCTTAATTTCGGGAGTTGTGTTGCTCACCTGTGTCGGAAGTCTGCATATGCCGAGGCTACAAGAAGCTGTCCTATCGCACAACCTCTGTGTATGTGCGTACGTGCAGAGTCGTGGCATCGCCTCGCGATTTGTTTTTCCCAGCACCTGACGTCGTGATAGCCTGTTTTAACGGCGTGTTTTGCGGCGCTTGGTCTCAACAGTCAGCGTGAAACCTTTTAAAAGTTGGTACATCATTGTTGTACTGTCATGGGGTGCGGTATTTGCAGAGTGGCGTTGCCCGCAGAGCCCCAGTATATTAAACGTGAGGGAAAACCGTGATGTCGTGGTCTGTGTCCAGTCAAGCCGTCTGACAGAGTTTCCTGTTGCAGCAAAAAACAGACATGCAGGGAGCGCTCTTCGTCTACAAAAGGTAAGAGGACTGACGCTCATATCGGTCCAGTGCAGCGCAACGGGGTGCGTGCTGTGCCAGATATTGTAGTTTGGTAATTTCGCCCAGTTAGCGTCCTTTCCCTTAAGAAGGGTCTGCCTTCCCAGTGCCAGCCACTCAGGGATATAAGGACTGGGATCTTTATGCCGTCTTCGCCGAGCACATCTCTCGTAAACGTCCTTACGAGCACCATGTGACGACTTCGCCGAATTACACCTTCCTCGACGTCCTGTGGGTACCGTTGCTCTTCTATGAGAGCCACCCGGACTGTTTATGCCAGCTTTTCCTAGCAAAGAGCGTGCCGACCAGGTGAACCCCGGGAAAGCTGCTTGGGGGCGAGACGGGGCGCTGCCGGAGCTGCGTCCTGGGAGGCCCCCCCCCCCCCCCCCAGCCGTCAGTGCCGAGCGGGCTCTGACCCTGCTTCAGCTCCCATCTCCCGAAAAGGGAGCAGCGCGCGGCAGGCGCCGGTCGTCTGCCTTATATGTGGCGACTGGCGTCCGGTCGCGGGCGAGCCATGTCGCGCGTCATCCAGGGCGGCCCGACAGCGGTGCCGGCCCGCTGTGCGTGGCGCGGGCCGCCCGGGTGGCCAGGGTGGGCGCGCGCCGACCGCGTCCGGCCGCCCACCTCCAGGGCACAGTGTCGGCCGGCGCTGCTCTCCTGGTGCCGAGCGGGTCCTCCTGCCTCGCGTGTCTCTGTGTGATGCGCTTTGGGGAAGTGACGCTTCGTTCGGTACTGATCATGGTGCCGGAATGCTGGAATGTTGACGACGAGAGGGCCGGTTGAAACATTGTTGGGCTGGCAGGAAGGGCTGAATCTGTTCAGTTTCCATAACAGAAACTTTGTTGTTTTCGTTTCGGCTAGAATAGCCTGCAGGAATAGCAGCCAGACTGCCCCGCTGCCTTGTCTTCCCAATGTGAAGCCTCCTGCAAGCCTGGGAACCGCCCGCTGACGTTAAGGGCCTTGTGATGTTTAGGCCTCGTTGGCTTACTTTGGTCTATCTCTGAACATATTGCACCAGACTTGATGAACATGTTATCGAAGCTGAGAGACCGTTGACCGGTGGTCGCGCATGCGCATGGAACCTTCCATTTGGGCCCTGGTACGGGGCAGCACCATCACGCAACACCGCTTGACAGCACCAGGGCTTCGGCGTGGCTGGACCACCATTGGCAATGCCGATGATCATGAGGGTCCGGTCAGTGGCCCGATACGTCCATGCATTCGTGGACAACACGCGTGGTCGGCAAACAAGCTGCCTTCGGCGAAACCTGGCTTGGTCGTGAAGGCGGCGACACTGGAAACGGCATGCACTGGGCTAAACGTCCGCGGTGATGTGGTGTGACGTGCTTTATAACAGCAGCTGAAGTCGGCCACATGTCTTCATCGGCGTGTGTATAAAGTCAGGATGAGTCGTGTGGGTATCCCCCCAGGCTTTTCTGCTGACCGCCTCATTTTCTGTTTCAAAAGCAAGAACAAGTTCGAAAGATTAGAGAAGCGACTGCAGGTTTGTTGTTGTCATTTCCCAGAAAGTTATGGAGATCATTGGGAGCATGGTATTTCGATAGAACGAAACGCATGTCACGGTTTCGCGTACGTGTGCTGATTGGTAGTATTCTCACCAACGCAAGTGGTCACGACGCAAAAGCGATTTGTCCTCGATGTTGGCGTATCCTTGAACGCCAGCTGTGGCCAACAGATGGCGTAGTTTGAGGTCGGTGTTGGTTTCCTGGGCGGCCACGCCGCTCGACCGCACTCGGTCTCTACAGGAGGAGGGTCGTCCGGTCCGGAGAGCATCGAGCCGGCTGTGCCTCGTCCCGACTGCATTTGTCGTTTGTCGAGGCCGAATCATCCCTCACTGTGCCTGGAGCAACCCCCGCGCAGCCGCCGCCTGGCCAGGTCGCGTTCGCTTGCGGTTGGCTCGTGTGCTGGACTCATCGGCGGGTTTGGTAGCGTGCCGTTGGCGTTGCGCACGTAGGCATCGTCCTTCTGCCGCCGGGAGCTCACGGCTGGTGCCGCCTGAGCACGGCTGACTCAAGACGAGAGCGGGCGGGCCAACAGCTGACCAACACCCGGGCCGACACCCGGGCTGACACAGAGGTCAGTCCCAGACCGAAACAGCAGCTGACGCACGGTGCTGACGCCGGACGATGACAGCCGCGCCCGTCAGCCGCAACTCGCGGCCGCGGCTGACGGGCATGGCTCGCTCGGGGTCGACCCTCGGGCGGCGTCTGGCCATGAGAGGGTGGCGCTCGGCCGTCCGGCGCCGGCTCTGATCGCGCCGGGGCGCCTATAAACGTTTGAAAGGAGGCCGGCCGTTGTCAAAACAGCCGCCGTCGCCGCTGAACTGTAGCTGGCGGCTGAGTCAGCGGCGTGCGGCACCGGGTGGAGCCGCTGCTCCTCAGGACCGGGATGTCTGACCCCCCCCCCCCCTTCCCGCGGCCTGTCATAGACGGCCCGACCCGCCGATGAGCGGCCACCCCGGCCGCGCGGTCCGCCGCTCCGCCGCTGCTCTGACCCTCGCCCCCGCAGCCCGACCGGCCGGCGAATGGCTATCCCAGCCGTGCGGTCGGCTGCTCCGCCGCTGGTCTGACCCCCCCCCCCCCCCTCCCGTGTCCCGCCACAGGTGGCCGGACCCGCCGGTGAGCAGCCACCCGGCCGCGCGGTCGGCCCTCCGCCGCTGGTCTGACCGGTGATGTGAGGGAGGGAAGTGTGCGGGGCTCCGGCCGTCCCCGGCTCGTCAGCCGTCTGCTCTGTGTCCGCGGACACCAGCTGGCCAGCTGGGCGCGGCCTGAACAGCCAGCGCGTGCTGTCAGTTCTGTTGGCCGGTGCGCCTGATGAACTTCGCACCCGGCTGTCATGGACCGTCTCCGTGCCAGGGATGGGAGCGGCCTGGGTGGTGCGGACTGTATCAGTCAGGGTGAGGCTTTGAGAGCTCGCCACATGAAGACCAGTCTGTCGTGCTCTGAGGTGACTTGCGGTTGTTGCAGCGAAAGGGATCGCCCCATTTTGCACTTGAGCATCGTCCCGTCCTCTGCAACCTGCGTTATTCGCGATGAATAGTGGACGGACTGGTTATTGCTCATTTTTCTTGTTTTGCACGGAAAGCATGGTGTCATTTTCATGCGATGAGTTTTAACACAAGACTCATCCTACCTTTCTCTAATCATTGTTTTTGGCATGGGTTCGCTGCTCGGTAAGCGACGCAAGAATCTCCGCTTCTCGTGCCGGTGATCTGTGTTGTATCTTCATCCACACCCTGAATGGCACATTAAGGGCCCAAGGCTTAGCGCGGGCGGGCGTGTTTTGCTGAGGAGCGCGCCCAGACGGCGCGTCTGGCGCGTTGCCACGCGCTCGTGTGGTCCCCCGGGCGCCATCTGTTTGCTGTATCGCCGGCGGCCCCCTGGCGACCCCCGCCGCACGGGCTCTGCCGAACAATGCCCGCTGGTGCTGGCGGGCGGTGGGCGTGCACGTTACGCCGCCGCTTACCTGGGAGCGACGGAGGAGGCGGCGGGTCTGTGGGGCGCGGTTGCCGGGGGCTGGTGCGGTGTCACTGGTGGACGCGGCGCCACGGGACACTTGGGCTCTGGGTCAGCAGCGGTGGCCGGGGCGGTGCCGTCGCTCGGCCCTCTCGCGCACCTGTGTCGGCCGGGACACACCGTCGCGCCGGCGGCCTCCTCACGCAGCGCGCGGCGCCCGACTGGCGGCGGCGGCGGCGGCGTCCTCCGGCTGCCGCCCCTCCCCGCCGGCCGGCCGGCCGACGGAGAGCGGACCTCGCGCCGCACGCACCCGGGCCCGGGCCCAGCGCTGACACCTCGCCGTGAGGCTGCTCTAGTTTGGTGGCCGGTCACGGACGCCTCCCCAGCCATGGCGGGTGTGGCGCGTGGCTCCAGCGCCGACACCTCGCCGTGAGGCTGCTCTGGTCTGTTGACCGGTCACGGACGTCTCCCCAGCCACGGCGGGTGTGGCGCGTGGCTTCGGCACCGACACCTCGCCATGAGGCTGCTCTGGTCTGTTGACCGGTCACGGACGTCTCCTCAGCCATGGCGGGTGTGGCGCGTGGCTCGGGCGCCCGCGGCTGCGGCCAAGTCACAGCTCGTCATTGTCAGACATATTCAGTGTGCATAGCAGACCTCCGCTTTCGGCCGGCTGCGCTGTGTCCCGCTGCCCGTGCCCTGCCGTGTGGTGGGAGATGTGTGGGGCTTACACAGTTGGGAGCCGTTCAGGTCGCAGTCGCCGGTCCGGCTCTGCGGACCAGCTGGAGAGCTCGCTCATTCTCGACGAAGGCCTCGCGCGGACGTGCGGTGGAGCTGACTGGCCGGTCCCCCCCCCCCCCCCTGGCGGCCGTGGGCGACCGGCAGACGTATCAAATCCTGCCAACATCAATCCCTATTGGCGCTCTGATTGGTGTAGTCGCGTCATCACGAGCGTTCGTATTGCAGGTCGGGTCCGCCCTACCACAGCTTCATGGTGCTCAACCGTTTGAACACGAAGAACCTGCTGCAGCCGCTCACCAAGGAGCTGGAGTTCCAGCTGCAGGCGCCCTTCCTCCTCTACAGAACGTCGCAAGGTGGGTGCGCATGTGGACGCCTCGACTGCCGCTGCTGCAGACTGTGTGCGCCACAGCGTACATCGATTACCGACTCGCTGCCGAAAGAGGACAGCACTCTGTCTTACGCAATAGGCGGTGCCGGGTTCAGAACAGCAATTCCGAGAACAGATATGCGTGACAGCAGCGGCTGCCGACACTCCTGCCGGTCCCGGGAACGGCTGTACTGAGCCCCCCATCCTACCCCACCCCACGCCCACCTGTTCGTCACGCGGCGGCCGATGGTGCATGGCCTGCCGCCGCCAACGGCCGGCGCCGAGTGATCGCCCGGGCCGCCGGCACCTGGCCGAGCGAGGGCTGTTTATTTACGCCCGCCAGATGGACGTCGTCGCGGGCTCGACGCACTTGCCGACGCCGGCCGCTCCTGTGCAGGTGTAGCGCCCGTGTCGGCGCGCCTCTCCCGCGGCGAGTGTGTGTTGTGATAGAGCGCCGCCGTACTCGCTGTGCGGTGAGGCCGGCGCGCCCCGTTCGGAGGCCCCCTGGTCTGCGCGGACTGGCGTGGGGAGGGGGGGGGGGCGCTCTGGACACGCTGCCCCGTCTCTGCCTCTCTGGCAAGCAGCGCCCGACACAACGTGACCAAGTGGTGCAAGCGACTGGTTCACGGTCGATAAGTTCGAAATGGATTCCCGCAGCAGGAGACCTCCACTCCGGCCGCGGAATCTGTCGGCGCTGGCGACACTGAATACCTCAATGCAAAACAGCCAGTTACATGCATGCGTCGATGACCGGTCTAAAAGCCACGTTTTGTTTTGACGTTGGTCGTCCTAGGACTGCCCGGCCGCGATGCCTGCCGCTGCCTGTCACGCCCCCGATGTCACGTGGCCGGCCATGTCCGGGTCCTCGGCCGTAACCTGTGGCGTGTCGCTGGCCGCCCGTGACCGACAAGGTGCCAGGCACGGTCGGTGACATGTGGCACACCGCTGACTGCCCGTGTCCGTCCCGCTTCGGGGCCTCTGCAGTGACCTGCATCACACCTCCTGATTGTACATGGCCGGCCCTCTCCTGGTCCTCTGAGTGACCGTGGTGACCCGTATCACACCCTGATCAGCAGTGACCGTCTTTCACCCGCCCCCCTGTGGTGACCGGGAACCCCCCCCCCCCCCCCACGGACCCCCACGAAAGGTGCGCCACCACAGAGGCGACTGTTCGCCGCCAGCCAGCCTATGCAGGGGGGTTTGGGGCTGCGGCGGTGCCGCTCTCCAACTCCGCTATAATCGCCGCAGCGGTGAGCCGCCATCGCCCCCCCCCCCCCCCTCCCCTGCCGTCCCGCTGCCGCGCCAGACGCAGGCGGCGGCGCGGCGCGGCGCGGCGCGTCTCTCCGACGGACGTCTGATAGCGTGTCGCCGTGTTGGCCGGCGAGCGGTGATGCCAATTCGTTAGGCGGCTGGCGTCTCATTACCGCCGGCCGCCAGGCGGCGCGGCCCCGCAGGCGGCGGCGCTCGCGCCACAGCCGGCGCGCTCTGAGGTTGCAGCGTGCTCCGCGGCCGGTGACGGCGTGACGCAATCGGGATTTGTTGGTGTAATTGCTTGGCATTTTCAGATCTCTGGACTTGTCAAGCGGCATCGCTGGTAATTGCCTTAAATGCCGGGTAATCTTGGCGTCTTCATCGGTATCGCGTAGGAAAATGGGTCGGTTGCGAATCCGTCAGATTAAGTGGGTCGTTGACGTATGTGTTATTTGCAGAGATAGCGTTTCAGCTGGCTGAAGCTATTTTTTGGCACTGTCTGTATTTAAGGGCTTTTAGCCGGTTTTAACGACTTCGTGGAAATTGGCAAAAGCTCAGAAGGCTGATGTCAATTTATGTTTTGGACGGTGACCAATAATTTGTAAAAAAACATGGTTTCTGTTTTGGTGGCAAGCCAACAAGAGCAAGACGCTCATGCCGAGATCCAAGATGCTGTTCGTCACTTGTAGAATTATGCTTTGATATCCTCAAAAACAAGATGTTAGATGTAAAATCCTTTTCGCAGAATGGAAAATATGGACCCAACATCGTAAAAGTAATGTCATGTCCACGTTTTATGGGGTATTCTATCTTGAAATGACCCGTAAAAAATGCTTTGGGGCGCGGCTGCTTGTGTCACATAGCTTAAATACGGCATTAGATAATTGATCATGGTACGTTGAAGAGAGTTGCTGTTTGAGCACGCGTTTCCACTCAGCATGAGACCGACAGCCGCACTAGAATTATCGAGTGCCCATCCGCAAATAACATGCGCTGCAATGAAACGCCGCGACAGTGGAATCACGATTAGGCGCACTTCCCCCCCCCCCCCCCGTAGAGCGGATACTGAGGTCAGAACTTAACTCCGTAGCGCACGTGCTTAAGTGAGCTGTTGAACAGGTGATATTTCGTGAGCAGAGAACCTCGCCTGGAGTGGGCAGCGACGCGCCCGCCACCGCAACCGCCGCCGCGCCCGCCACCGCGCCCGCCGCCGAGCCCGCCGCCGCGCCCGCCACCGCGCCGCTGCGCTCCTCCGCCACCGGGGGTGTCCGGGGCCGGCCTGTCGCACCGGCCACCGCGCCGCCGCTCTCCTCCGCCGGGCACGCGCGCCGGCCGCGCTCCGCGCCCGGCCCGGTCTAAATCGGCGGCACTAAACAATTTCACGGGGCGCGTTTGCCGTTGTTTGCGGCGCGCGCTGGCGGCGGCCGCTGGCAGTGCTGTTGGCTCAGCGGTCCGTCGCGCCGCCGTGGCCGGCCGTGTTGGCGGGGACCGGCGCCGGCCGCAGAGGGGCTGCGTGTTCTGAAGACGCCCCCCACCATCCGGGCTGCAGAGGGGCTGCGCGTGGTGAAGACGCCCCTCCCCCTCTTGCTGAACTCTGATGGCTCTTGGTGGTGTTTGTTTCATGTCTGTCGGAGGTGCAGCGGATGATTGGCACTGGAGTTTTATATGGGTGTTTGGTTGCGTAATCGAGTGGCACGACACAGCATGCGACACAGCGTATGCGTGTTAGGAATCACTTTACACACGCAAAATGACTATGTAAATTACTCTAAATCGGTAATAGCTCAGCAGGCTTGTCTCGCACTGTGCCACTTGGTGCCGTCGCTGTGGCCTGTGATTGTTGTCTGGCTCAGCCCGTATCAGCCAGTCGCCGCCAGTATCGCTTGAGTCGGCGCCGCGGCCCGTCAGCGCGCACCCTGTCCTATGAGCTGGTGCCTCGTCCCATCAATCGGCGTCAGGTCCTGTCAACCAGTGCAGTGTTCCGTCAGGCATCACCGTATCCCGTCAGGCATCACCGTGTCCCGTCAGTCATTACCGTGTCCGTCAGCCATTACCGTGTCCCGTCAGGCATCACCGTGTCCCGTCAGTCATTACCGTGTCCCGTCAGGCATCACCGTGTTCCGTCAGTCATTGCCGCGTCCCGTCAGGCATCACCGTGTTCCGTCAGTCATTGCCGCGTCCCGTCAGGCATCACCGTGTTCCGTCAGTTATTACCTTTTCCCGTCAGGCATCACCGTGTCCCGTCAGGCATCACGGTGTCACCGTGCTCCGTCATTACCGTATCCCGTCAGTCATTACCGTGTCCCGTCAGGCATCGCCGTGTCCCGTCAGTCATTACCGTGTCCAGTCAGGCATCACCGTATCCCGTCAGTCATTACCGTGTCCCGTCAGTCATTACCGTGTCCCGTCAGTCATTACCGTGACCCGTCAGGCATCGCTGTATCCCGTCAGTCATTACCGTGTCCCGTCAGTCATAACCGTGTCCCGTCAGTCATCTCCGTGTTCCGTCAGACAGTACGGTGTCCCGTCAGTACGTACCTTGTCCCACCAGTTCGTATCATGCCGCCAGTCAGAACTGTGTGGCATCTTTCATTAGTACGGATCCATCTGTGAGGTTTCCTGTCAGTGCGGTGTCCCGTCAGTACGCACCGTGTCCCATCAGTTCGTACCATCTCGCCGGTCAGAGCTGTGCGGCACCTTTCAGTATTGGGTCCATCTGCTCGGCGTGCCGTCAGTCAGTACCGTGTCGTCAGTCAGAGTTGTGTGACATCTTTCAGTGTTGCGTCCATCTTTTCGCCGTGCCGTCAACATGGTGTCGACTGACGCCCTGCGACGGCTACATCCATACCTCGTCCCGGGTCCATACCGTGTCTCATTAGTCGGATCAAGCGGTCCGGCAAGTGCCCATCGCTGCGCCCCATCAGTTCGGACAGTGTCCGATCAGTCATTGCCGCGTCCCGCCAGTCGGTGCCGTGTCCCGCAGTCAGTACATGCTCTGTCAGCCACTATCGTTCATTGTCCGCCCCTGCCGTGTCCCATGGCATGTCCCGAGTCGGAGGCGGGCTGTCTCTCGTCGGTCGGTCCCTGTGGCACCAGTCGACGGGTCGTGCCGTCCGTCGGTGCGGTGTCGGCCCAGCGGCCGCGTCTCGGTCGGTGTCGCGCGGCGGCGTGGTCTGTCGGCCGGCGTCGGCGAGTGATTTGTTCGGCTCGACGCGCCGCCCCGCCGATGATAAAACAATTCGCTGGCGCCGCTCCAGCCGGCCTGTCACTCGCAGTGGCCGGCCGGCCGCGCCGCCCGCTATTTCAGGACGACAGCTCGCTAACGCACAGTACAGGCGGCCGGCTCGCCTCGCCTCGGCCGCCGCCACCGGCCCCGAGCCGGCCGCCGACTCGCGGCGCGGGCGGCCTGGCGGCCGCGGTGGACGCAGCATCGCGCCCGCCGCCACGATGCTGCGTCGCTGCGTCGTGCCGCGACGCGTGGGGTCCTGCGGTGGCGTTATGAGCGGGGAGATGGCTGGATCGTGGAGAGTCCGAGGGAAATGGGCTAGCGCAGGGAATCGGGAAAGGCAAACGTTGCCTATCCCAGTGCTTTGATATACTGTGTACAGCAGCTGGCTGCTGGTGACGTGCTGTGACTGGGTTATGTTTCGCGTAAAGTTGCGACACACCTGGTGCTGTGTGCCTCCCTTCCCTTCCCCCACTTCTTGAGACGATCTACCTGACGCCATAAACAGC